TTTATTCTCATTTGACAGTCTAACATATATCGTTAAAGCAACCGTGCATGCACGCATGCATGCAAGCATTAAATATTGCAGGATTGTTTTTGTTATCTTTTGCAAGAGCTAAAAATATTTATTCTCATTTGATAGTCTAACATATATCGTTAAGCAACCGTGTATGCACGCATGCATGCAAGCATTAAATATTGCAGGACTGTTTTGTTATCTTTTGCAAGAGCTAAAATATTTATCCGCATTTGATACTGTCTAACATGCTATCATTAAGCAACCGTGCATGCACGCATGCATGTAAACATTAAATATTGCAGGATTGCTTTTGTAATCATTTACAAAAGCTATTTGTTGCTGTTTGATGCAAAAGCTACTTGATTACTTGATACTTTTAACATGCTAACAGTAAGCAACCGTACATGCATACATGCATGCACGCATTAAATATCATAGGATTGCTTTTGCAGCAACTAAAACATTTATCCATGTCTGATAATATCTAGCATGATATTAGTGGCAACTACGATGCATACATGCATACATGCACGTATAAGCATTGCAGGATTTGCTTTTGCTGAATTGCTCATGAATGTATCATCATCCGACATGCATTGATTGCATTCTGTGTTAAGCGTACAAGAAATATACATGCATTTCTGCATGCATTTTGCAAAAATGATAATTTCTAGGTGATTATTTGGATTGTTTTAATCCAGCACGAATCGATGCATTATTGTTCCTAATAAGCCTAAAATTACGATATCCGCGACATATTTGCCTTTTTCGTGGCCATAATGAAACATATGAAATGTGTAAAGCAATCGGTTTTGATAAAGCGGTTAATAATTTTAAATTTGATTCAATAATTAAATTATTAAAATTTACTTAAAAATTATGCAAATTAAGTTTTGTTTTAAAAAAAATACCTTAAAAAACAATATATACATATATGTATTTTTCTAGTTAAATTAAGCAAAAATATTACGGATTGAAAAAATTAAAAAAAAAATTCATTTTTTCTAAGATTTCTTAGAGAGGAAAAAAAAGAAAAAAGAAGAAAGAGGAAAAAATAATTTTTTATTTTTAGATATACAGCGAAATTAAAATATATTTAATATGAAAGATAAATTGAACCTGAATGAGAAATGACCTAAAATTGACAGGATGATGCAACCTAAAATTGGCAAAATAATGTAACCTAAAATCTGCGGAGTGGTGTAACCTAAAATTAGCAAAATAATGTAACCTAAGATTGGCAAAAAATCAGCGCTCTTTAAGTAATTTTAGGCTGAACAATACCAAATCAAAATTTCAATAGATTCTTGTTTTTGTATTATAAATCTATAAAATGAAAAATAAATGAATTGGCAAATAAATAAACAAATAATTAATTAATTAATTAATTAAATAACTAATGATAAATAGCGTGATTGATACTTTATTATCATTTCTTTCTTTTTATTTATTTTTTTTTGACAATACTAAATACAAACAATAACAGAACTAAATTCTCGATTAATACCTACTTTTATTTTAGAAATTTAAATGGTAAACAAAAAACAAAAATTGCATTAGTTTTAAAAAATTTCCTAATTATTTTTGTAAAATAATTAATTTTGCAGATTGATGATCAACACTTAATTCGAAGTTTTCTCTTATTTTTTGAATATTTACCTCTTATTGGACAATTTGGTAGTACGTCAATATATGTTCTTATCATATTATCATCAACAATATATAATTTATATTTTGCTTTTTTTTTACAATTGTTAAAAATCAGTAAAAATTTGAAAAATTAGAAAATTAATAAATTTTTTTTTTTGTTTTTGTTCTTATCATATTATCATTAGCAATATATAATTTAATTTGTTGAAAATTAGTAAAGAAAAAAAAGAAGAAACTTTATCAGATTATTATAAGAAATTAAAAAATAAAAAAAAAAAAAGAAACTTTATCAGATTATTATACGAATAAAATAACAAATAACTTTTATTCATATTTTAATTTAAATTTTTGAAAAATAAATGAATGTAAACAAATTTATTAAAAGATTAATAGGAAGAAATAAAAAATTGACCGCTAATTTACGATATAATATTAGCATTTATTTAGCTCATATAAGCTATTTAAAACGGATAATTTTAGTTGTAAAATTTAAAAAAAAGAAAAAGATAGCCAAAAATTTCCATTATTAATTCTTAAATTATCGATTATAGATTTAAATTTAAATTTTAATATTTTTAATTTATTATAGAATTTTTATGTCTTCATGCTGGTATTTCACAATTTATGTCCGATGATTCATTTCTTTATTCATTCGCAAAACCAACTGAAGTGAAACGTATGACTATAAGAGAACGAGCCGTTTTAACGGATATTCTATACGGAATACCGGATAAAAATTTACCGACGTATATTTATTAACTTTTTTTTTTTATTTCTTTTCCTTTTTTCATAAATATTTTTTAAATATATAAATTAAAAATTTTTTTCAAGCAATACAATTAATTAAATAATTAATTAAATATGATTATTTTAGAAGTTTTAGAAGAATAAATTTAAATTAAAATTGAAGGAAATGTGTTATATAGAATAAATTTTGAACTAATAAAACAACTAAAAATAATTTTTGTTAATTAAGATTTCAAATTAATTCCATTCATTGCTTATAACAAAAAAAAAAAAGCTTAAAAAAAATTTTTTGCAAATAAAAACAAATTTTTTTTTCGAATACAATATTAAAATATGAAATAAATTTTATTTTTGAGTGATATTAAAATTTGAAATGAATTTTATAATTTCATAAAAATATTCAATAAATATATGATACTATTTTATTACCATTGCAAAAAAAAAAAAAACAGAAAACAAAAAAAAATAGTTACATCCAAATTTTGCAATTTTTATTATCAATAATTAATTCAAAATTGTATTGATAAATTTTAATTTTAAATAAATTGTTAAATATTAAAATATTTGCAGATTATTTGCTCCATCAAATGATTATCCAATTGGAAATCGTTTTAATCTAAATGCATTAAATGAAATACTTGAAGTATTTGAATGTAAAAGATTAATTCGTGGTTGTGGACATCGTGAATCAAATGATCTGTCATTTGATTTTGATGACTGGAAATGCATCAGTATTGCTTCAGGTTGTAGTGTCAAACATAAAAAAATATGGAAGTGAGTATTTAAAAAAGAAAAAAAATGGATTTTAAATGACTTTATAAATGATTTTCCAAAGATTTTTTAAGTGATTTTAAAAAAAAAAGATTTGAAATGATTTTTAAAATTTAATATTTTATTTGAAATGATTTCTAAAAATTTATTATCTTTTTTTTTTAAATTTCAAAAAATAAAATAATGACTTTTAAATGATTTTTAAATTTGAAATATATATTTAAATGATACTTGTTATAAAGATATTTTAAATTTAAGGCTGCAGTTCATTTTAGCATTTGATATCTTTCTCTTTTTAAATTTCATTTGTATAGATATTTCGAATTCAAGATTTCAGTTCATTTTAGCATTTGTTCTCTTCTTTACATAAATGTAAAGGATGATTTTTTTTTCTTTTTTTTGAATGAAATTGATTTCTATTTTAAAATTGATTAAATTTCAGTGATTTAAAAATATCAAAAATTAAAAAATAAAAGAGGAAAAAAAAGAAATATTAAAAAATTTGAAAAGGAAAACAAAATAATAAAAATGAATTATTTAATTCTTTATATATTATAGATAATATTTTATTGATCAATATTAGCATATTTTATTTTATTTTATTATATACCAATAATATTTTCATATTTTTTTTTCTCTTCGATAATTTTTTAATGGAAATAATTTTTTTTTCAAAAAAAAGTTTTTAATTTATAGGATATTTGATTCAAATATATCAAAGTGGACAATTTACAATGTTACCGATTGATAAAAATATCACCTGGAATTTTAGAAATAAAAAATCTTTCAAAGAAACATTACATGTTTTCATTGGTTATTGCGCTGAATTATTTCAAACAACAACAAATATTTATGAATTAGAATTACCATTAGGATGTGTCGCATGTAAATGGTTTGCGCAAGGGAAGCAACCTGAAAATGTCACCATATCGCATAGCTTATTGAAAAATATTGTTGAAGGTATTAAATAATTAACGTGTAATTAAATATTTGGAACTAATTTAACTGCTAACTAATTCCTATTTATAATAAAATAATTAATTTTTGAAAAAATTTTATTTCATATTATTATATATATAATATTATTACTATTACAATATATATATAAATATATATATGTATATTTAAGTATTATTATAATACCGGGTACGCTTTTTACGTGAATTTTTTAACGTGATGATATACATATATATATAATATTATTATTATTATTATTTACAATATATATATA